GGTAACAGTGTTTTGCATGAACATTTGCATAACTCAAACTATATATATAAAAAATAGTATCTATCTTTTGCATATTAGTAAAAAAAACAAATCTCAATCTACAACAGTAACAACAACAACGTCAACTTTACTTTTTGACGTCATTGTCAAAATGTAATCACAAATAAAGCTGCAAAGTTGTTGAAACGATTCAGATGCCATAGAAATTAATAGAAAAATGTGTCAACATAGAGGACTTGGGATAAGGATTCCACGTAAAACTTCGTTTTTTAAAAATAATTTTTTATATCATATTGACAAAAGATTGATTCGGAATGAAGCTGTTCCTGAATTCAACCTATGTATTAAAAAAATTTGTCACAAAATGTGAAACCTTGACTAATATCTGACAAAATACAACACGACTAATATCTGTTTAGGTTAGAAGTTTTACGTCATATAATCAAATCTTGTCTTTATAGAAACAATAAACCTCTAGGAATTTTAAGTTAGAAACTCAGTGAAGGTGATTATAAAAACTATGATAAAATTAGGTGATTACAAAAACTATGAAAAGCTTCATTAAATAGCTGTGATCTAATTTAATATAAGAATATGATTTTAAAAGAATAACATCAATATAAAATAAAGAGTCCGCTACTCCGCAACTCCGCAACTCCGCTACATGCTCCGCTACGCTACTTTGCTTTCCATTTGGTAGCGGAATTGCAAAAGCGCTTTTACTAAGAAAAATTTGATAGCGGATTAAGGTCGCTAACAAAAAAAAAAAAATTAAAGCGCATCTCCGCTACTATTTAAATTTAGAAATTGTTTAAATTAAAAACTTTTACTGAGAATAAAGTGAAAAGAAAATGAAACGTTTAGAATAGAAAAAATTTCCTGTGTTATGAAAATAATTTAATATGTGTGAAATTGGTTTAAAAATATTGAAAAAGCTGCGTGTGTGCTTTATAAAAAATGTCTGCAAGTGGCTCAACATATACACAAGGCCTGAGCAAAGGAGGGGGAGTGCAAGGCTGGGTATGGTACCTCTTTCCATTTAGATTATTATTTGACAAATTATCATCTTTTTGTACCTTCAGACAGCAAATTTTTTAGACAATTGTTGAAAAAATGGGTTTTATACTACTTATCTTAAGGCCGAAAATGGGTGAGTTTGAGGACCTTTTTTTTTCAATTGGTAATGCTGATATAGCATCTCCCCCCTCACTTGACACTGGAAACCTACATGCGCCGGGTGGTTCGCGTATCCATTAAACAATATATACTTATATATATATATATATATATATATATATATATATATATATATATATATATATATATATATGCTAATCTAGACTTGTCTCATTGTCTCATCTCAATGAAATAATCTTTATAACAGTTGAACACCAACTTTTAAAAACACAGCTGCAGAACAAGTGCAATTTTCTTAAACATATACAATGCAATGTATTCAATCTTCTTTAAATTTGACATTTCTTAATGTTCATTCTCATGATTTTTTACTTTAGTTTTTCAAAATACAATTGCAGAACAACTGCAATTTTTTTTCAACTGTTAAATTATGAACAATTTAATGTATTTAATGTTCTTTAAATATGACATATAATAAACATTGTTATTAAATTTATGCAAAACTTTATCAAAAAATAGATGAATGTAGACGCTAAAAAAAATTGTTCTTGGGCGTCTTTATTTTTATTCTATTTTTGGCACCTCGCTCCCGCCCTGCCTACATGCCTGGTTTAAATGGGTTTTACTAAAAACTTGTTTATTTATTGAAATAGCATTTGAAGAAACTAAATTATGGAAAAAATATTAAACAATATTTTCATTCTTACACCACAAATAGTTTTCATAAGAATGAATTGATTTCAACAACATGTCATCTTTTTCAATTTTTGTGAAAATTAGCTGCAAATTCTGAGCAGCTATATTTTCTTAAATTAAATCTAACGAACAAAATAGCTGCCAAAGTTTTCATTGTTGGAAGTGTTTGTACCTGGCAAACATAAAGCGGCTTCCACAAATTTTAACAAATTGTTATAAGAAAAGGGATTATTTTTGAAATGAGAAAAAATTTTAACCCATTGCTTGTCATATTTAATAGACAGTGAGTTCCAAGAAGGAAACTCTTCCTTTGTGCAATATAAATTAGCTCTACGAATTTCGTCGAACAATTCATTGTTATCGAATGTGATTTCTATTGATTTTTGCAAAAAAGTTATAATTTCAATAATTTCAATTTATTCAACTTTACAGTTAAGTAAAGACCATTTAAAAACTTGATTCTGATTAAAGTGACGCGTCCACTCATCTATATACTCTAGACGGGCACTGTAAAAAATGTCTACTTCTTTCAGAAATTGGTTTTTTAAATGATGACTATTTTCTTCGGTAACTTGCAAATGTCTTACATAAAAGGTAGAGTTTTTTCTTCTTTTTTAAATTTTATCTGGTCCTTCAAATCCTTTAATACTACGGCAACTTTAATACTTCAACTTCAGGAGCAAAAGTATCATCTTTCTCAATTTTTTTTACTGCGTTATTAAAAGCATTGGCTTGACTGTGAACAAAAAACAATACTATTTCACCCATTTCGTTATTAAAAAAGTCAAATAAAAGTTTCGGACAACTTTCTAAGCTTAAAAAGTATGATCTTAGTGGCTGATATAACTTAAGCACTATTTCGATAGCTGGAAGTAAGGCCACCCAACGAACTTTTGAGAATCCTAGCAATTTTTGATATTCCATACCGGCCTCATTGCAGAAATTTTCTAAACTAGAAAACTCGAGCAGTAAAATGGTAAAAAAATAAATAAGTTTGAGGAATAATTATCTATACATCAATAGATAAACAACAAGATGCAGTGTTTATTGCACTCGATAAATTATGAGTATTGCAACCGATACCAATGATTTCACGGTTTAGCTTAACGATTACCTTTTTGTGAATATTGTTATAACCATTTCGTTTTAAACCTCCGATATTGGTATTGATGTTGTCTGCAGAAATAGCCAAAACCTTTGAAGAAATATTGTTGGTATTTTACCAGAAATTATTTAAAAATAATTTCTGGTAAAATTCCTGATATTTCTCCATTTAAAAAATCCATGCTAATCAGCTGAACTTAAAAAAAATCCATGCTAATCAGCTGAACTTAAAAAAAATCCATGCTAATCAGCTGAACTTAAAAAAAATCCATGCTAATCAGCTGAACTTAAAAAAAATCCATGCTAATCAGCTGAACTTAAAAAAAATCCATGCTAATCAGCTGAACTTAAAAAAAATCCATGCTAATCAGCTGAACTTAAAAAAAATCCATGCTAATCAGCTGAACTTAAAAAAAATCCATGCTAATCAGCTGAACTTAAAAAAAATCCATGCTAATCAGCTGAACTTGCAATCCCTATTTAAAAAATCCATGCTAATCACCTGAACTTGCAATCCCTATTTAAAAAATCCATGCTAATCACCTGAACTTGCAATCCCTATTTAAAAAATCCATGCTAATCAGCTGAACTTGCAATCCCTATTTAAAAAATCCATGCTAATCAGCTGAACTTGCAATCCCTATTTAAAAAATCCATGCTAATCAGCTGAACTTGCAATCCCTATTTAAAAAATCCATGCTAATCAGCTGAACTTGCAATCCCTATTTAAAAAATCCATGCTAATCAGCTGAACTTGCAATCCCTATTTAAAAAATCCATGCTAATCAGCTGAACTTGCAATCCCTATTTAAAAAATCCATGCTAATCAGCTGAACTTGCAATCCCTATTTAAAAAATCCATGCTAATCAGCTGAACTTGCAATCCCTATTTAAAATCAAAATAACGAGCTAAAATTGGATACATTTTAACGTACTTGTGGTTTGATGCATCAGAAAGAATTAACACTGATTCTTTTAATAAAGCATTTTTTGAGTTAGTTTCACAATCTTTCTTGAACAAGTTAACAATTATTGCTTCACATTTTGTACGCGCACAAGCAAATCTTGGATTATAAAATTTTTTAACTAGCTTTGATGTACAATCAGCACTTCTAAAGCTATGGTTGTATTTGATTGTGTGGAATGCAATTGTTCCTTCTTGAATGGATTATACTTTTTCAATTTGATTAAATCTTTGACTCTTCATCAACTTTGTAATTTTGTTTGACGATATAGAAACATCCAATGTCATTTTGTGTTTGATAGATTTGGAATGGTCTTCAATTGCAGACCGTCCACGACTACTAATGTCAAATAGGCTTTGACAAATAGTACATTTGAGGAGCTCATCTTTGATCTGCGTTAGGAAAGGAAACATTTTCTCTAAATTATAGTTAAATGTGTTTAACTTTCTCTTCTTACTATTCAATTTTTGAATTTGATGTATAAATAAGTTAAAAAAAACCTTAAATAACTTTTTTATTAAATCCTTATTTTTCTGAACTTCTTATTAAAATGAATGGCAAAGCGTTATTTACAATAATTAGGGAAAAAAGACTTAACAAGGCAAACAAAATTTGCGTAAAACGAGCGCATTTTCTTTGTAGTTGAAAAATCTTTCGAAGTTTAAAAACTTTTTTTTTAATGTTTACGGAAATATAATTCATTTAGTTTTGTGTTTTATAGTTAAGTTTATTGGAATTTTATTCATTATTTTTTTAACTATATTTTAAAAAATAGATTTATTAAAAGTCTTTCAAGTAATATTTTTTGAAAGAATTTTATTTGCTTTTTTTTAATATATAAACGCGTACACAAACGCGTACAAACCTCAAACGCGCAAAACTATCGTCAAACGCTTACTGTACGCGCCAAACGCGTACGTATAGTCACCTTATTTTTCTCACACTTTGAATTCTTAAGATCATTTAAGGTACTTCCTGGCAATCAAATTTATTAATTTTACCGTAAACTTTTAAAGTTGTACTATTGTAATATAACTTAATATTTTAAATATAAGCTATCAGTTTTTTATTACGCATTATATTTTATTAGGGATATATATTTTTTGACTAATCAAGTATTATCCTATGTAGTTATTAGTAATATAATATGTCTTCTGATGAAGAAGGTGATCAACCGTTGGTTAAAAAGCAGCGCCTATTTTATGGAAGTCTTGAAGAGCAAGAAAAGGAACGCTTGGAGAGAGAAGAAAAAGAAAGGCTAGCTGGTGAGGAATTACTTCGTGCACAAGGAAGTGAGTCTAGTGAAAGTGACTCAAGTGATGATGAAAAAATTAAAAAAGTAAAGTCAGGAAAAGAAAAAAAAAAAAAAGGTATTATTACTATTATTATAAATGGATTACTTAATAAATAACTAGTGTTTTAATAAAACTATATTGACAAGTTATGTTACATGAAATATTTAAGCTACAATATTTTATACTCAAAAAATAATTAATATCAAACATTGTTACAAAAAGTTATGTTTTGAGTACCAAATTTTTGGTATATGGATTTGTTGAAGAAAGGAAGATCTTCTGACCTTTTTTTAAATATCCTTAAGTTTAGTAAATTATCTTGAAATTTATACAAAACCAAAAGAAAATAAAAAAAAGTACTTTTGTTAGTAAGGTTGTAAATAACATTGATTTTAAAAAAGTTTTTGAATAGATATTTAAGTTAGTAAGCGACTGGGGTTAAAATTTAACTGGGGTCAAGGCCGGGTTTGATAAAATATAGCTGGGGCTGGGGCCAGGTTTGTGATTGGGGCAGCATAAACATTTTATTCAAAATAATCATAATTATAATTGCCATCATCATGATCATTTTCATCATAATCAGACTTTAGCCTTCCATATTTATGCTGTTTCTCTAATATAAACTATCTAGAGCATTTTCTTTCCTTAATGCACATTCATACAATATGTAAGGCACTCTCTTCATATTTTCTTACTTCTATCTTTATCATGTATTCCTTAAGCTTGCTACCTCTTTACATGCTGATACTTAAATCATTTTAATCTTCTCTAACAAAGATTGTTTGATACAACATTTTTCTTTAATCGGTCCTTATAACTCTTACCCATCTTCATATTTTTTCTTTATATACAACCTATAACTTTTTATGTCTTCAGTTAACCATATTCTAGCTTTTTAACCCTATCAACTATTTTAAAGTAATTCATAACTTAATAATGGTTGCTTGCAACCTTGTTAGAAGTAAATAAGAGTTTAAAAACGTATTAATATATGCCAGTATTTAATAAATAGTAAATGTAAATATAAAATTATAATATATAAAATATATATATTTTTTTAATCGAAGTCACAGCCAGGGCTGAGTTTACAAAAAGTTTCATTTTAAGCTGGGGCTGGGCCACCGGTCACTTCCTAATTTAGGATTGATTTTTTAATGCTATGCGCTTTTTTTTTTTTTTTTTTTTTTTTTTTTTAACATCTTCACTTCCAACAAGGCTGCAAGCAACCACTATAAGAGTTGGAAGTTACTGGAAGAGAAAAGACTAAATCTGTAGAGCAAGATAACGATTGACTGATGACTTAAAAGATTGCAAATTATATGAATCAGAAAAGCAAGATGAAGGAAGCGAATTCCAAAGAACTGATGTTCAAGGAAAAAAACTAGAAGAATAAGAGTTTTTAAAGCACTTAGGAACAGTCACAGAAAAAGGATGAGATTTAATTGAATGGCGAGTAACACGAGAATGAATTTTAGTAGATGGCACAAGGGACGCTAGCTCCTTAGAGCAGTGCCCATTATAGTATTTGTAGAAAAGAGAAAGAGAAGCAACATTACGACGATGAGACAAAGGTTGGAGATTGGCTGCCAGAGCAGGTCCAACTATGTTTACAATTCGTTTTTGCATCTTGTCTAAAAGAGAAAGAGCATCATTAGAAGATCCGCCCCAGATGTGGCAACAGTATTCCATACAGGGACGGATTTGAGATTTATAGAGATAGAGAATAGAATCTGGAGTAAGAAAGTGTCGAGCTCGATAAAGAGATGCAACCTTAGCAGATGCTAATTTTGCAATGGATTTGATATACGGTTTAAAAGAAAGATCAGAAGTAAGAGTTAATCCTAGAAGATGAATGGTAGATGACTCATCTAGTACATTACCATTCATAAATATAGGAAGATCTAAATTATTACGATAACGATTGGCCGAATAAAATTGAGTTTTATCTGAATTAAAGTTCACCAGCCACTGTGAGCCCCAAGCTGTAGCAGAAGTGAGATCCTTTTCAAGCTCAGATACCCCCTCCAAGCAATCAGAGAGTGTAGGCTTCTTATCATGACAAGAGTAAATGGTAGTGTCGTCAGCGAATAATGCCACCTTAGATGTGAGAATATCTGGAAGATCGTTAATGTAAATTAAAAAGAGTATAGGGCCAAGGATTGAACCTTGAGGAACCCCTGAAGTTATAGGATGTGAAGAAGAGTGTTGTCCATCGAGGACAACTTTTATACTACGATTGGAAAGAAAGGACTCAATAATCTTAAAGACGTTACCAGCTACACCATAAGAAGAAAGCTTATGGAGAAGACCAGCATGCCAAACTTTATCAAAAGCTTTAGAAATGTCGAGTGCGATAGCCTTAACCTCTCCACATCTATCTAATGCACGGTAAAACCTATCGGTTATTACTGTTAGCACATCAGCTGTAGAACGAGAAGACCGAAATCCATATTGATGATCAGAAAGTAAGTTATTTGATTCAAGATGAGAGATTAAGTGTTTGTTGATTAAAGATTCAAAAACCTTGCTTATGACAGGAAGAAGACTAATGGGACGGTAGTTAGATGAATCAGATCGCTGTCCGGAATTTTTGAAAATAGGGATAACAGATGCTGCTTTCCAGCATGATGGAAAACAAGACTCTGATAAGCATTTGTTAAATAGTTTAGAAAGTATGGATGAAAGCTCCGGAGAACACCTCTGCAAGACTACAACAGGAATGTTGTCAGGACCACAAGCTGTTGAAGAGTCTAAGCAGGAAATTACTTTAGATACAGAAGCTGAAGTGATGCGAATGTCAAGCAAGGGATCAACCTGTTTGACGGCTATGTCAGGTAAAACGCTACTAGTGGAATCAAGAGATGATATTGATGAAAAGTTCTTAGCAAACAATTCAGCTTTGTTTTTAGGTGAGGTGACAAAGTCTGACCCATACAAGAGAGAAGGAATAACAGATTTGCCCTTATTATTGATACTGTTAAAGATTCTCCAGAAGTCTCGAGAGCCTAATTTTTGTGATGAGATACGAGATTTAATGACCTGGGAATAGCGAGCTTTGGCGTCAGACAAAACCTTTTTACAATGGTTTCTGGCGATAGTGAACAGATGTCTGTTTTCTGGAGAATTGTTTTGCTGATAGATATGGAAGTAACGGTTTCGATTAGAAATTGCTGCAGCGCAATGTGAGGAAAACCAAGGAGAAGAGTGAGGCTTGACCTGGAATCGTCGAGCTTGTAGCGCTCCTACAGTTAAATGGCCTAAAATAATTATATTTTTTTTATTTATTGTTTTTTTGTCAGTTGAGATTTTTTAAACATAACCTTATATTTATTGGCTTTAGAACATAAATTGACTATTTTATAGCCTGGTGACAGCAACGGAGTGCCACTAGATTGACTGAGGGTTTAACATGAGGAAGCAATATTTTTTTTAATTTATAAAATAATGAACAAAGTAGATGTAGCAATGCTTCCTTGTGGCAGCAAGCTATAAGATAGATGGATGTATCTGCTGAAACTATTAATTATTCCTTTATGTTTAAAAAGTCTCCATGGACAAAATAATAAAGTGCAATAAGTCAAAAAATATAATTATTATAGGCAACTTAATGGTTGGCTTTTTTTAATTTTTTAAGCATTTAACATTAAATTAACATTATAATTTAAACAAATAAATGAAATTTAATAAAATCCTTAAATATTTATCAGGTCCCTTATAATGTTATCTTGAAATAATTTCTTCAAATATATATAAGGTGACCAGACGTACTCTTTTTAAGAGTATTATGCTCTTTTTGATGTAAAATTTTTTATACTTTCTCTTTTTCTGAAGATCACAAAATACACTCTTTTTTACTACTGATTTAAGAAATTTATTAATTTTAAATAAACAATAAATAATAAATGGTTTTGCACAGATCTAAGCAGTATTTTTTCTAAGCTAATATATTTTTAACCATGCAATAAGACAAGTTAAGTTTATAAAATTTCTCAAGGAGAGTGCAAATTTTTTTGAAGAAAAAAAGTTTGAAGAAACTTATACATTCGCCAAAAAGTGAGTAAAAAGCAATCAACATATATTTTTCTGCACTATTTGGAACAACAATTTCTATAGTCATTAAAGGCAAATGCAATATTGTTCAACACGCAGTTTCAAAAACACATAAAAAATGTTCACCAGTTTTTATAAAACAAAAGCTAGAATCTTTTTCTTTAAAGATTTAGCTGCTTATGATAAAAACTTACAGTCATTGAGCTTGTATGGTCATACCACAACGTAAAACACTGCCATTTATTCAGGGATATGGACTGCACATCAAATTTTTGAGAAAATCCTGTAATTATAAGATTACATGTGGAAAAAGTCTAAGTGTCTTGTTAACAATTTAATTTTAAATTAGTCTGAAGATTTCTTAAAAAAAAGATTTGCAACAAGCAAACTTCATTGCTGTTGCATGTAATGCATCAAACCACAAAAAATTTTTTTTTTTTTTTTTTGTGGTTCGAAGCATCACGTGCACTTTTAAAATACAAGACTTTATTTTGAAAGCTGGTTGTTAAACCAGCTTTCAAAATAAAGTCTTGTATTTTAAAAGTTTATAACCTTCCAAATGAAACTGCAGAAACAATAGCTAATATAATTTTAAAAGATATTAACTTTTATAATATACAAGATGTTATTGGATTTTCAGCAAATAACGCAGCTGTAAACTTTGGTGCTTTATCAACTAATAAAAAAAAATATGTGACTTCTGTTGTAGTAAAGTTTTATACCACAATAATTAGTTATTTGAAAAAGTGGGCTGAAAGATTTCGTAGTGAAGCATGGAATATAAAGTACCTTATGTTAAAAAAGAAATTTTCAGATGACAAATTTAAGGAAGCTTACATATATTTTCTTAATCAAACTAAATCGTTGCCTATTCCTATTGTTTGTGATAATAAGATTTTTGACTGTATACCCATTTTTATTTTTTCTTTCAATTAGTCGGCAAATGCAGTCGAAAAATTTTAAAAAACAAAGATTATTTTTTTTTAGTGAGCAAAAGTTGTAATGGCATTCTCCCTCCCCCCTAC